ATGCCGCTGTTTACACACTGACGTCTAATTGTCAGAGTAGTGGCATAAACATTATTTTTCAAGTGTCCCACCAACGACAGTATTTATTTATTTATTTTTTTTCCAAGGTCAAAGTAGAGGCACTTTACTATTTTTCAAACATTTGGTTTTTCCAATATGAATAATATTAATGTGACAGCCTATTATACTTTGCACTCCCCTAAGACGTTTGGGCCGGTGCAAAGCTCTTGATCAGAGAAAACTTGGGTCACAGAGGAGATCAGACAGTGGGAAATGTCCTCACTGATCACCCTGGGAAAAAGTCATGCGTAAAAAAGAGCATAGGCCAGCATTCAGGAAAATATCTCATCTAAAACAGAGGCTGCATGGGCCTTTGCATTTCATTCATTTGGTCATGTATCTGCAGAGAACATCGTATAAGACGTTAGATAAAGCAAGAGAGGTAGAACGCTTCACTGGGTCTTAAAAGAGTAAAAAATAACAGTACAGGTGCTCTACGAGGGTTAAGACAGTGGGCTTAGACCAGAAAATTACCCTTACAGGAAAATCTTCCACTCAATGTAAAGTCAGCCTCTTAAAAGTCATAGTAATTGAGGTCGTCCCTCCAAATATCAGAGGGAGCGACAGACTCTATCAACTGTCAAAAAAGAAACTTTCTGGATTGTAAACCTTAAAAGCCACACGACATCCGGGCCTCAATGATGATTTGGATTATTCCATGTTTCTCTGAAACTTAACTTTTTCTGGTGATTCTTTATTGTAAATGACATTTTTTTGTACTTGTGATAGTCAGTTTGTCTATGTATTTCATATGTGATGGACACACCTACGTCCCTCCAACATGTCTTGTTATTCTTCTTGTTGTTTGGTCAGGCTGCTCATCACTTATATATTCCTCATTGTTGGCCAACCTTTTCATGTTTTGGGGTTTGCTCGCTGTCTTTTTCCTGTTGTCATGTGATGTTGTCATGTGATTAATTGATTGTATTTATTGACAGCCGGTGTGTCTTGTTTTTACTACTTTGCTCTGACAAAGACCTGCTGATCGAAACATGTTGGCGTCCCTTCATGTAATAAAGGACTTTTAATATACTCAGTCGGAGCTTCATGTTTGTACCTTACCCATTTTTACATTTTCCTGTAAGGGTAATTTTCTGTTCTAAGACCATATAAGACATGTTGGAATATAAGTGTCAGAAAACCGGCACGACTACATAGAGGCATGTCGAAATGAAGGAATGTCAGAACAGGCTGAGGACCCATTACTTGTGCAGAACTCTCCAGTGTAATGTCACTGCAAAGTATCAGTAGAAACATTCATGTAGAGAGTGTGTTTCATGTTATCATGTGGTTAAACTACTACAAAATGTACTCATTCATGTACTCATTATTATCCAGATGTCACTTTTTATAACAACCCAAAATACTTGAATCACAATGTTTTTAACAATACTACAAATCACTTATTGAAATGTTTTTGAGTTAATTTCTAAACCAGGACTGAACCAGAACTGAACCAGTACAGGGTTAAACCAGAACCGAAAGAGGACTAGGCCAGGACTGCACAAGGACCAAACCAAGATTAAACTAGAAGTACAACAGGACTAAAACAGAACTACACCAAGTATAAACTAGACCTAAACCAGTGCATGTGTACAGATCAAATGGCTGGACAGAGCAGTGCCTCCAGTTGTAGTTGTTGTGTTGTATTTCCGCTCGGGTTCTTCTCGGATAAAGCTGCTCCAAACACTCGGCTTTTTGATTAATTATGAATGAAAACATTTCCCTGGATTAAAACTGCAGCAAAGTGCTCCAGTAATTAGACCGCACCGGGACACACGCGTTTAGACAGAGGCGGACATGCTCCTCTGCAACAACCAGACCAGGACTGAATCAGGACAAAACCAGGACTAAACCAGGACTAAATAAGGACTAAACCAAGACTAAAGCAGGACTTAACCAGGACTAAACCAGGATTGAACCAGGTCTGAAACAGGACTAAAGCTGGACTAAAGCAGGACTAAACCAGGACTAGACCAGGACTAAACCAGGTCTAAACAAGGACTGACACAAAGCACTAAGCATGGCTAAAACTAGACCAAAGCGAGACCAAACCAGGACTGAAACATGACATACAAACAAAGACAGGACTTAGAAAGGGACTATAAAACAGGACTAAAGCAGGACAAAACCAGATCTAAACTTGGACTAAACCAGGACTAAACTATGTCTAATGAATCAACGAACTGTATTAAGTACACAAGAAGATTACGCAAGCTCCATATCAAAGGTCTCGTTTTCTGAGTCATGAATTGGACCAGAGTTATAAAATCCAAGATGGCTGTGTCTGTGTGTCTGTGTGCGTTTGTGCGTTTGGTCACTTAAAGTTGGAGCCTGTGGTGTTTTGTACTCACTCAGACCTCATCTCCTCACCACCACCACGACGCTTCACTCGTTCATACGTTTCAGGCTTCTATTTTTACGTCTTTGGCCTGGTTGAGCGGCACATTTAGCCCTGCTCCTCTGCATTATTCATCCCTCCACTCGCACACGAGGCCTCGCAGCAGCTAGCGCCTGATCTGCGTCGCTAGCTACTCAATATAACAACAATCATGCATTTTATCGTCTTACAGACGATAAAACGAAAATGTGCAGAGCCTCAAAGTATATGAAGTCCAGATTTAGTCCTGGTTTAGTCCTGAGCTACAGTAGACCTGCTTTAGTCCAGATTTAGTCCTGGTCTAGTCCTGCTTTGGGTGAGTAGACGTCCCTGTTTTGAGCCTGTGTCCCCTGTCCCATCAGATTTATCCAAAACCACTGATTTGTCCCAGTTTTATACAAGAAACATCCCAGGTCTCCCTATTTCTGACCAATGAAACCTGCCAAAAGTAAAGAGAGACATAAACTGTCATTTGTTTAGGTAAAATACAGAAAAAACATGATTAAAAATGACCAAAGCACAAAATGTATATAAACTAGACCGGGACTAAACCAGGTCCTAGACCAGGACTAAACCAGGACTAGACTAGGACTAAACCAGGTACTAGACCAGAACTAAACCAGGTACTAGACAGGGACTAAACCAGGTACTAGACAGGGACTAAACCAGGTACTAGACCAGAACTAAACCAGGTACTAGACAGGGACTAAACCAGGTACTAGACCAGAACTAAACCAGGTACTAGACCAGAACTAAACCAGGTACTAGACCAGAACTAAACCAGGTACTAGACCAGAACTAAACCAGGTACTAGACCAGAACTAAACCAGGTACTAAACCGGGACTAAACCAGGTACTAGACCGAGACTAAACCAGGTACTAGACCAGGACTAAATCAGGTACTAAACCAGGTACTAGACAGGACTAAGCCAAGACTAAACCAGGTACTACACCGGGACTAAACCAGGTTCTAGACTGGGACTAAACCAGGTATTACACCGAGACTAAACCTGATACTAGACAGGACTAAATCAGGACTAAACCAGGACTAGATACATTAGAGCCGACTTGTGCGGAACAGTTTTCCTTAATTCCACGTTACTTGTTTCACAGTTTTATTTTTACCAACCAGCACAAACCAGGGACGTCCCAGTGTGTGATGTTGAAAATCTGCTCACTCTTCTTCTTAGTTACAAATAAAATGTTTTTCTTATCTCTGAGTTGTGCTCTGTCTGCAGATCATTCTGAAACATCTGATCAATCTTAATCCCAGAGCCTGGATAGAGTGGTAGTGTGACAGAGTAGTAAAGCACTCTCACCTCACAGCAACAATGGCCCAGGTTTGACTCCCGGGCCTTTCTGTGTGGAGTTTGCATGTTCTCCCTGTGTCTAGGCTTCCTCTAGACACTTTTTCCTCCATCAACCCAAAACATGCACAACAGCTCAAATCCTCCAGCTGATGTAATCCTGACAAGACCAGCTCAAGATCTGAAGAGGAGCTCCACTGCTCCTGACAGGTGTAACCCAGAGACACTGAAGAGGATGGGTCAAATGCAGGTTTAACCCAGAGACACTGAAGAGGATGGGTCAAATGCAGGTTTAACCCAGAGACACTGAAGAGGATGGGTCAAATGCAGGTTTAACCCAGAGACACTGAAGAGGATGGGTCAAATGCAGGTTTAACCCAGAGACACTGAAGAGGATGGGTCAAATGCAGGTTTAACCCAGAGACACTGAAGAGGATGGGTCAAATGCAGGTTTAACCCAGAGACACTGAAGAGGATGGGTCAAATGCAGGTTTAACCCAGAGACACTGAAGAGGATGGGTCAAATGGAGGTTTAACTCAGAGACACTGAAGAGGATGGGTCAAATGCAGGTTTAACCCAGAGACACTGAAGGCCGGTCAAATGCAGAGGACATATGTTTCGTTTTGGGATGAGAGTGCAGTCCTAAAGACTAAAGACACAAACAGCATGTGTAAAAGGAGAAGAATATGAAAAGCTGCTGGACACGAGATGATGTGGTGCAGTCACAGGAGACAGTGTGATCACTGACCCTCTGCAGCTGTACAAGTCCACACACATACCTGTGTAAACTCTCACAGCTGAACAAGCTGGTTGGATCATCACCAAAACAACTCTTTTCAAATGTGAAGGAGTAAAAATGAACTTGCATTGAACATTTCTTCATCCATGTTGCTTTAAAATGAAACTCAACACAAACACATGAACAGTTTTCTCCACTAAACTGTCCGTATGCTGTTTTAATCACATTATCTACTGCTCCAAGTCATTTGGGGAAACTTTAATGCAAACTAGGTACATTTACAGCTTTCTGATAAAAAACACCTAAGTGTGTGCTGGCTCCAGTGGCCTCTGCAATTTCAAATACTATGTGACACCACACAGCCCTGCCCTTTCACAGTCTGGGCTTTCTGATGCAAACACTTGTCTGCAGGGGCCGAGTTTCAAGTGTGGATACCTGTTAGACCAATCACAAAGCTCCTCATACCTCCAGACCCCTCCAGACCCCGCCCCTCCTCCCCTGTGTGTCTCTTACCGTCTGTGGTGCTTGAGTTGAGCCTCTGGCACAGTCCCTCCGTGTCTCCATAACTGTCCTGGACCTTCTGCAGAGCGTCGGCTCCTCTCAGCTCCATCAGCTCCCTTAGCTCCTTCACCGTCACCCCGAAGTCTGCCCCCGCGTGCCCCCCATCGGCCCCTCCCCCCCTCACGCTGCCCCCGCGACCTTTAGGGTAGAACTCCACTGCGCTGTTCGCCATCTCGCCCATGGTGCCAGTACTGGACATATCACGCTGGCGCCTCCTGAAAGTGGACCTTCTAGCTTGCCGTACTCTGTGGTTTGGCTGTTGAGACGTTATTCATGAGACCAGCGGATTCTGATTTGGATTTTTCACTTCCCCATTGGAGTTTTGTGGGATAAACGTTGAGTCGTCTCTGGGTCCTCCCCCTCCCTCCGCGGTTAAAGGGGCAGGTCCATGGGTGTGCTGCAAACTCTGGACACTAGGGGGCGTAGTAGGAGGAGAGAGGGGCGAGCCGGACAGGAAGCACGTGCTCAAACGCTAAAGCTGCACCAGCGCCACCTAGAGACAGAGAGAGAGAGAGGAAACACTGTTAGTGATGTCACACATCACATGTCCAACAGACAAGAATGTCTTTGGGAATGAACAGTTAGGTGAGCACCTTTTGGATAAGGCAGAGTCAGGGGCGTCGGGTTTACGGACAAAAGTCCTATTCACACAGGATTAGTGTGACCTGTGGAGCTTTGGTGATTTATAATAATTGTGGAGGATGCCTGAGATCTTAATCTTGTATGAATGCATCATGTCTGTCATTTGTAATGTAAAAATTCCGTTGTAAATGACCTACTAGATTTGCCACCAACACAGTCGTCCGGTGATGATAAGAGTCCTGTGCCAATCTGCAGCTCACTGTTGGTTGGTTGTAATTGTGCCATTTCTATCTCTTTCTTTTCTTTCCTCGTTCTTTTATCTTTCAGTCTGTGTCAGTGTCAGTAAACTAGAATCATTTACAGATTTGGCCTATCTCGTGTGAATGTGCTGCAGGTAACACAGAGGGGGAACTTCTACCAGAAAGTTACATAGTGCACCTTTAATATCATGACACCCTCCCAGAGTGCTGCACTGTGGTCAGTATTCATTCTCTCCACATTCACTTTTTAGTCACTGCTGCCACAGGGCAAAATGAGGCTGCTCTTCTGCACCACAGACCCTCTGAGCAGCACCACCACTGACCCTGTGATGTCTGTGAAAACATCACAAATCCAGAAGCAGCCACAATGTCACCCAAACTACACTGAGTGTTGATTGGTTTGAATTTGTGCAGGGTTCAAAGGAGCGTCAGAGAACGATCGTTACCATGGAAATCCACCATGTTTGTGTCAGTAGTACAAGACATACACTAGTCAAAACAATGTAAACCAAAGTGCAGTGGAACTGCTGCTTTTGTATGAAGTTCACTATTTAGCATCTCAATTGGTTGAACATTAGGTTCACTAAGAACTCTACGTTCAATCCTCAACATAAAACCTGGCTCCAGATTCACCTCTGTAACCGTGAACATCATGAGCTTCATTTGAGTGGAGCTGAACTCTGTGGTGACGTCACACTCACTTCATCTACTTCTTTATACAGTTTATGCTCCTCACACACTGCATTCTGTCTTTAGATAATATACCATCATTTTCCACATTAAACTTTCTTTTCGGTTCCCATGTGTTTTATATTTGTGTAATCCTCAGTGGTGCAGTAGGTTCCACAGTGTTCAATGAGAGTACACTAGTGTATGTGCTCTTACACTTGCTCTGATACAGCTCCGTGTCAGTGGAACTTTTGTAGTATCGATACATGCTCAAATGAGTACGAGTATGAGTACCATAGTAATGAGTACTAGTTTGGATAGTAGTCTTAGTGCATTAGTATGTGATACTTCTGACAGTAGACAGTAGAGTACACACAGCTGCCCGTTGTGCTACATATGGCCGTCCCCTACAGCAGCAGTGACATTTGTGCAGGCAAACAGCTTAAACAGTCCCATTATCGTGCTCCGCTGCATCTGAAGCATCTGAAGCTCAGAGCTGCTCAGAGCTGCTCACAGTCTCAGGGGGAATTATAAATAGACAATCAGAATTATTCATGTCACAGTTTCCTCCAAACTCATCAAACATGAACCAGAGCAGGACACGGGACACAGGCTCTGAGACTCTGAGGCTCTGAAGTTCTAAGCTCTGAGACTCTGAGGCTCTGAACTCTGACCTCTGAGGCTCTGAGACTCTGAGGCTCTGAAGTTCTAAGCTCTGAGACTCTGAGGCTCTGAACTCTGAGCTCTGAGACTCTGAGGCTCTGAACTCTGACCTCTGAGGCTCTGAGACTCTGAGGCTCTGAAGTTCTGAGCTCTGAGGCTCTGAACTTTGAGCTCTGAGACTCTGAGGCTCTGAAGTCTGACCTCTGAGCTCTGAGGCTCTGAGGCTCTGACCTCTGAGGCTCTGAGGCTCTGAGGCTCTGAAGTTCTGAGCTCTGAGGCTCTGAACTTTGAGCTCTGAGGCTCTGAGGCTCTGAGCTCTGAGTGACTCAGCTCAAATCTGAGCACAGTGAAGGAAACACTCCTGTGGCTCTGTATGAGATGTTCAGTTTTATCATGATACTCAAATGTAAACTGTGGCTCAGTGACTCAAGGCAAAAAGCTTCAGGCTTCAACTACTGGGCTTTTCTGTGTGCAGTACAAGTTCTCCCTGTGTTTGTGTGGAGTTTGCTCTGTATTTTCACTAAAATAGACTGTTTTGGTTTGCTGAAGGACACTGAAGGACACTGAAGCACACTGAAGGACACTGAAGAACAATGAAGGACACTAAAGAACAATGAAGGACACTGAAGCACACTGAAGCACACTGAAGGACACTGAAGAACAATGAAGGACAATGAAGGACACTGAAGAACAATGAAGGACACTGAAGGACACTGAAGAATAGCCCAAATGCAGAGGACACGTTTCTCCATGGGGACAAATGCCATTATAGTGACTGAGGCTGAAGCAAAGAGTCCCAGATGGAGACAGACTGTGAGTGTGGACTCTTCAAATGCACACACACACACACACATACACACACATACACCCACACAGACACACACACACACACACACATACACACACACACACACACACACACACACACACATACACATACACACATACACACACACACACACACACACACACACACATACACACACACATACACATACACACATAAACAGGCCGCAGCAGATTTGTTCATTTAGTAAAGTCCAATACTCTTGAGGTCAAACTAAGTTCTCTGTGTACTGTCTGTGTCTATTATAAACACTTTTATTGTCCCATGATCATCTTTTATTGACCTTCAAAAACTTCAACATGTTCAAAACTCTCCTCACCCACACCCGCTCACAAGAACATATCACCCCCGCTCTGCAACAACTCCACCAGCTCCCCATCCAACTACACATCAACCTCAAGATCCTCCTGACACCTACAAAGCTCTCCAGAACCACACCTCTGCAGAACCAGACCTCTCCAGAACCAGGCCCCTCCAGAACCACACCTCTCTCCAGAACCACCAGAACCACACCTCCAGAAACCACACCTCTGCAGAACCAACACCCTCTCCAGACACCTCTCCAGAACCACCCTCCAGAACCAACCTCTCCAGAACCACCAACCAGAACCACCTCCAGAACCCACCTCCAGAACCACACCTCTGCAGAACCACACCTCTAACCACACCTCTCCAGAACCAGACCCTCCAGAACCTCTCCAGAACCAGGCCCCTCCAGAACCACACCTCTGCAGAACCACACCTCTCCAGAACCAGACCTCTCCAGACCTCTCCAGAACCAGAACCACCCTCCAGAACCCTCTCCAGAACCACACCTCTCCAGAACCAGACCTCTACCTCTCTGCAGAACCACACCTCTCCAGAACCAGACCCTCCAGAACCACACCTCTGCAGAACCTCTCCAGAACCACCACCCCTCTCCAGAACCACACCTCTAACCAGACCTCTCCAGAACCACACCTCCAGAACCCCCCTCCAGAACCACACCTCTCCAGAACCAGCCCCTCCAGACACACCCTCCAGAACCACACCTCTCCAGAACCACCCTCCAGACCACACCACCACCTCTCCAGAACCAGACCCCTCCAGAACCACACCTCTGCAGAACCACACCTCTCCAGAACCAACCAGACCCTCCAGAGAACCACACCTCTGCAGACACCTCCAGAACACCCTCTCCAGAACCACACCCTCTCTGCAGAACCAGAACCACACTCTCCAGCAGAACCAGGCCCCTCCAGAACCACACCTCTCCAGAACCACACCTCTGCAGAACCACACCTCTGCAGAACCAGACCTCTCCAGAACCAGGCCCCTCCAGAACCACACCTCTACAGAACCACACCTCTGCAGAACCACACCTCTCCAGAACCAGACCCCTTCAGAACCAGACCTCTGCCGAACCAGGCCCCTCCAGAACCAGACCCTGTGCTGTTAGCATGCTAGTTGTCCAGATAATGTGAGGTTATGGCAACACTCCGCTCTGGGCTGAGAGTTGTGAAAAGTGTTTTTAAACTCATCGTGGTGGATCATTAGGACGCTCTGAACGCAGAAGGTGAGTGAGGAAGAACAGCAAAAAAATGGAGTTAAAATTGACCCTCACAGAGTCAATTTGAACATTTTCTGTGTTTATATGAATCCAATTTGTTCTAGAGTTTATTTAACATTATTGGAAATCTTCATTAAGTAACACTGGACCAAAGTTCCTGTTTAACCTGAAAACAAGAGTTCTATTAACTTTTTGAGATTAAACGGATAACACTTTTAGGGTTATCCTAATTTAACTGAGGTGTTTTATTTTAACACATTATTTTAGTTAATTTAAGATGAAATTATGAGCAGAACTGGTTCAAACTGGTCTTCTCTCACGGGAGTTTGAAGTGGTGGGTGGGGACTGGGACCAAGAAACATCCCTGGTCCTGCAGCAGCCTCAGTCGGACCCTCAGTCGGACCCTCAGTCGGACCCTCAGTCGGACCCACAGTCGGACCCTCAGTCGGACCCTCAGTCGGACCCACAGTCGGACCCTCAGTCGGACCCTCAGTCGGACCCTCAGTCGGACCCACAGTCGGATGGCTGTTCTGAACTTTTCCACAATGTACAGTTTGGCAGTCGCCCCTGGTGGGAGGAGCCAAGTGAACACTAAGGGAAGGAAAATGAACTTCAACCATATCAACTCT